TAGGGTTTAGGGTTTAGGATATCTGCAGTAGTTGCGAACTCTACTTCCCGAGCCACAGGGATACTGAGCTGTGTATATGGCATTACATTGCTGTTCTCGTCATTATTGCAATTGTGTTTTTGTTATTCTGTTCAATGTTGCTCGCAGTAGTCAGGGTGGTGAAGGTGCTTCAAGTCTCTTGGGCTTGGGTTTAGGGGGGGGAGGGATGATGGCGTGCGATTCTGGGCTTCGGGCTGTTCGTTCGAGGCGCCAGTCGGAACCGATAACACATTCTGGCTGTTTCACACAGCGGCAGTTGTCAGAGTTCCTACCTGACGTCAACGTACAGCTTAGATGTCAAATCTCGCTGTACAATGCAAAGCCATACATAAGCATTTCAACGGTCAACATCATGTAACAAACCTAAACGACAACGAAGCAAGATGCGAATCAGCACAGGGTGTCCCGCTCGGGTGTTGCACGCGGGCGCACTTCAGGCGTGTGGATGCCACCTTTATAAGGCGGAGGGGCTTGGAGCTGCCTGTAACTAGTCTAAGTACCCAGGCCGGAGGGACGATACTGTTTTACACAGGGTTCGCAGACCCTAAGCCCTACTCCAAGATCATGATGCCTAGGGGTTGAGAGGGTCTTGTGCCTGATGAGTATTGGGGCTGGGGATGATTTGACCAGGGTCCCGCTTGCAGGTCCTTGTTACAGGGAAACCCGAGTTTAGGGTCTAGAGATTAGGGTTNNTAGGGTTTAGGGTTTAGGGAAGTCGCCAAGTAGTCAAAGAGCACCGCCTTGGCCTCCAACTGCTTTGGAGCCTTTCAGTGTCCTAAACCCACAAACCCAAACCTTAGACAAGCCGCAAAGCTTAAAACCCAATACAGACAACAAATCTTAACACAACCAACAGCCCCGCACATCTATCTATCTATCTAGCTATCTACCTATCTATCTATCTATCTATCTATCTATCTATCTATCTATATCTCTCTATGCCTATCTATACCTATCTATATCTATCTATCCTATCTGTATATCTATCGATCTATCTATCTATCTATCTATCCATCTATCTATCTATCTATCTATCTATCTATCTATCTATCTATCTATCTATATATCTGTTTACGTATCTATCTATCCACCATCTATCTATCTACCAATCTATCAACCAATCAACCAATCTATCTATCTGTCTATCTATCTATCTAATGTATCTTTTCCCCTATCTACCTATCTATCTACCTATCTACCTACCTATCCACCGATCTATCGTTCTACCGTTCGATCGGCCCAACTACATATGCATATAATCTAAAGCTGCATGAATGGCAGATGCCCAGTACCCGAAAAAGCTAAGTCCTATACGCCCTAAACCCTAAACTCCCAAACCTCTCAGCCCTAAACTCTTAAAGTCCTAAACCCCCCCCAAAAAAAATCCTAAACTCCTCAACCCCAAGCCGCCAAACGCTAGAAACAACGGCGCTCGGAAGTCGCCTGCCACGTGATTGCGCTCCCGGAGGCGCCTCTAGGGGCTTTACGACTTGAAAGGGTTTGGGGTTTAGGGATTCTTTCAAACGGGGCCTTCAGGGTTTAGGGTTTAGGCCTTTAGGGTTTAGGGTTTAGGGTTTAGCGTTTTTGTTCGAAACGGGGCCTTGGCAATTAGAACAGGGCTCCTGGGCCTTGATAATTTGCATAGACTTCCTTTCAAGGGGGCTGACTGGGGTCCTTTGAGTGATACTTATATAGATTCATATATATATATATATAGAGAGAGAGAGAGAGGGCCTTAATTATTAGACTAGCGCTCCTTCAAGGGGGTCCTTCAAGGTATACTATGCAGGTTCCCTGGTATAGGTGCCTTAATCAATAGAACAGGCCTTTGGGGTTTCCTTTTGCTACAGCTCTAAGCATCGTAAGGAGCCCCAGGATATGCGAATGGCCATCCTTTTTGTGTTCTACTACTTATAAAAAAAGCTTCACCAAGGATGGCATAGGGCATGTAGGGAGTTTGTAGTCTTCATCTGGGCAGTTCTCTAAATTAGGGTCCCTATTTTCAGGTGAGCCTGAGGTCCCCGTCATGCCACTTGCCAGCTGCCTCTTCTTTCTGCTGCTTAGTAGGGAATGGGGGAATGGATCCCTTTCGTAGTCTCTTCCTTATAGTAGTCCCTATAACCCATTCCCCCATTCCCTACTAAGAACCAGACAGTCTTCTTTCGATGCGACCAAAATCCAGACCACGTTGCACCCCGGATCCGGATGTTTTGTCAGAAAGCCTCCAGGATGCCCTAAACCCCTACACCCTTAAACCCTTAGCCCTTAACTTTTAAACCCTGAACCCTTCACCATTAAGCCCTTAGGTTTAGGATTTAGGCGGTTTAGGGTTTCGGGTTTAGGGTCGCAAAGATCGCTGCATGACGACCCCTGAGCCGCTACAGGAGCACTCTCGGCGGTTCACGCCAGGAACGCTCCAGTCCAAGTGTGATGCAAACGCCGTCTTTCCAGCCTTCCCGAAGCCTATGGAACTCGGGAATACAGAGCTTTAGGGTTTAGGGTTTAGGGTTAAGGCCAAGAAGTTCAAGGCCATAAATGGGTAGTTCTCGAAATTGTTAGTCCCTTTTGGGGTCCTTTTTATAAGGCTGCCGTACTATATTGGGGTTCACCTTAAAAACGAAAACCCTAACCTTGTTTTCAGGAGGTATGTAGGAAATTCTTAATACAGAGCCCTAAACCCTAAACCCTGAACCCTAAACCCTAAACCCTGAACCCTGAACCCTAAACCCTAAACCCAGACAGTAGGGTTCTAGGGCGTCCCATTCCCCCATTCCCTACTAAGAACCAGACAGACTTTCGCGCCTTGGCCTTGGTGGTGTCAAATCTTCGGAAAGCTTCGCCTGGTTTCGCGCACGTACTGTAGGGGGATTCATAATTAGAATAGGGCTCCTTTAAAGGGATCCTTAAAAGGTTCTATAAGGGATCTATAGTGGGGGGGATTCATCATTAGAATAGGGCTCCTTTAGAGGGATCCTTAAAGGGTTCTATAAGGGATCTATATTAGGGGCCTTAATCATTTTTATAGGGTTTTGGGGTATGTTGTACTATAACTATATTAAGGAACCCCAAAGCCCTCTTCTAATTAGTAAAGCGCCTGAATTATGTGGTAGCAGCTTGGCTGCTCAGGGTCTATGCTGAGGATTTTCTCTGTTCTCGAAGTCCTTTGGATATGCTTCAAGGTCTTGTTTTGCGTTTATCGGTTACGGTTTAGGGGTTTAGATTGTGGCGAGTACCCCTGCTTCCCCTTTCAAGGTAGACATTAGATTTGAATATAGATATCCCTATCGAAAATGAAAACCTATGAACCGCAGAAGATTCTCGCGAGAGCCTTGAAGTTAGTTTCTAGGGCTTCGTACATGTGGTTTAAGGCAAAGGGCTGAGGGTTCAGAGATCTGTTGGATTACGTAGTTCATGTGGGGGGCGCCTTCATGAAGCTTTTAATGTTTACAAGTTTGACTACAACTCTGTATACGGGAAGTTGTTCAGACCCCTGGGCTTGAAAATGGTAGAATTCCAATCTTTGCGACCGGGGAGTGACCAGCTACCCTCAGGTGTTTTTGGGGTGTCGGGTTTGGGGTTTAGTTCTACGGTGTCTAAACGTCCGGACAGCTTTTTGTTGCTGCTTCTAATCGCACTTCCTCTGTGCGAGTCCATAGTGACTTATACCGGATTTCTGGTCGGCACAGCTGTTTCTCTTTCATTACCCAGAGACTCCAATATCCCTTGATTAAGGAATATACCTCAAATCTTATTAGGCTTCCTACTACAATTTAAGGTACACCCTAAACCCTAAACCCTAAACCAGTCTATTCCTTAATTAAGGGATATTGGAGTCTCTGGGTAATTTCATGGACACGGCTGCGTCGGAGCCGGACTCTTCGCCCTGAAAGCATGGAAAGCGTGGAAGGATCTGTGGCTCAGTGGAATCTAAGCCCTCAGACCATGATCTGCCAAATGTAACCTGCAGTGAAGCTTTAAAAACAAAACGAATATGAGGGCCTTAATAATTAGAATAGGGTTTTGGGGCCCTTTATACTATGGTTATAATAAGGAGCCCCCAAAATAGTATTGGTAATTAGGCCCTTATATTACACCCTACACCGTAAACCTTTAACTCAACCCTACGCCCTCCACCCTAAACCCGGAGGCTTTTTTGGGGGGAAGCCCAGCCTGCAGATCTGGAATCGCCCGTCGATGTGATGGCCTGCCCGTGCTCTGCTTCCAAAGGGTTGAGGGTGGAGGGCCACGAGTTTCGTCTAAGGGGTTTAGGGTTTAGGGTTTAGGGTTTAGGGGTTTCGGCTAAGGGGTTCTGTTAAGGGGTTACTATATATGTGTTTCTGTAACACCACTTAATACGGATGATTATCAGGGTTTCTATAGGGGGTTGCTATAAGGGCTACAATATAAGTTGCTACAAGGGTCATGGTTTCTTGGTCTTGGTGGTTCAGGGTGCTGGGGAGCATTTACGTTTCGAGCTTTCTAGGTGGAGCCTACGAGATGTCAACCCAAATCTCGACATGTTTCCTAAACCCTTAGGGTTTAGGGTTTACGGCTTTGGGTTTAGGGTTTAGGATTTAGGGTTTAGGGTTTAGGGCTTTGGGTTTAGGGTTTATAGGGCCAAAAACCTAAACCCTCCTTGAACCAGGAGATGTGTGAGGCTCACTTGCTCGGTCAGCAAGTGCATAGAGGGCTTCCTCGGTTTGGGGCTATTGAGGTCCAGTGCTTAGGGGTCAAGAATCACGGGTGTGGGGATCAGGGCTATTAGGGTATAGGGTAGATGGGCAAAATTTCAATAAACCCTAGACCCTAAACCCCTAAACCCCTAAAGCTTAAACCCTAAACCCTAAACCTCTAAACCCTAAACCCTAGCCCATATAATATGGGCCGTAGCCGTAGAAAGCCTTCTGCGCAGGTTTCGGATCTTGGGGCTGAGGGGTCCTGGGGTCTTCCCTGGGCTTTCTGATGGTTTAAGGTTTTAGCGGTTTAGGGTTTAGGGTTTAGGGTCTAGGGCTTGTAGGCTTTAGGGTTTAGGGCTGCCAGTGTTGGGCCTTCGGCGGGATACGAGGCACGAAATATGTGAGGTTGTCCAGTTTTGGGGTTGGGGGTGTCAAGTTACAATGCTAGGCTTATTCAGGGTTTGAGGATAAGCCCCATCTAAGCATCTATAAGTCGGGAGAGCGGCAATAACGACCAGCCTCCTCGGAGTCACAAGTTCCTTCTCCTTTGCCGGCCCTTTCCGTCCCACCTCAACAAAAGGATGGCAACAATGGCTTTCGGGGTATGTTATAGTGCAGCTTATTGGGACTCCTACGGGGGTATCATTATTTCTTATTCCGACCTCTATGTGCTATAGTTATATGAGGACTACGAAGGGACTGTGTTAGTAGATATTCCCCTATCGGGTGGCTTGTTTTTTTTGTGTTTTTCAGCTCCGGGTCCAACGAACAGTCCCAAACCCAAAAACCCTATAGACTCAAAATCCCTGCCCAATATATAGGGGCCTGAATAAGTAGAATAGGGTTTTGTGGGGTTCCTTATTATGATTCTGGTATCATATACCCCCAAACCCTATTCTAATTATTAAGGCCCCTCTGGGAGCGATCTTGGAGTGTGAATTCACCCTTCCTGAACTAGGATGGGACTCGAAATAGTACACGTAGAGAACCTTAAACTCTACAAGTCGTGCCCTATATACCGGGCGCTAATGGACCCCAAACACAAGGCGTCGCAGTTCAACCTCGCACGGCTCAGGCTACGAACCTAAATCCTAAACCCAAACCTCCAACCGCCAACCCCGCCAACCCCAAAAAAGCATGTGGACAAGACCCTCAGACGCCGACGTGCGTCGTGACGGCTAAGGCAGGCCTGGGTCGTTTCCAAGTGGGTTTGTGTTAGATGCCCTAATATAGGTGCCGTCATAGTTAGAACAGGGTTCTGAGGCATGTATACTATGATAAGGAGCCCCTAAAATAGTGTAGGTACTTATTTAAGCCCCTAGGTTTGCCCACATGCAGGCTCGAGGCATGGTTGTTGGAGGCCCCAAGGGTCCTAGGTACTGTTATGGGGGATACGTCCCCAAACCATAATTCCCATAATGGCTATGGAAACCCTACATTCTACTATATAGGTACTTAGGACCCTTTGGGAGGTTGTTGTTGCTTATTGAACTTCGTGCTCCACGAAATTCACCCCTTTCGGCTTCGGCTTTGCATAGGGGTTAAGGTGAAGGTTCGAAAGCTTTATGGAGACTTTACGGGGTGTTGCGCAGGGCAGCCTTTGAAATTTCATGAAAGTCTCTATGTCTCTTCTGTAAAGTTTCTGTGACACTGTGTGTGCTACAAAAGAGTTTCCTTTCCAACCAAGGCCACCCATACTACATGAAGGAATCGGTCCCGCAAACGTTGTCGGGATTCGGTGTCTAAGGGCTGAGGCTTTGTTTTGAGGGTGCCACACGCACTAAAACACCTACTTTGCTGCTGTACTCCTTTCGGGGTTCCAAATCTCCCAAAGCCTCGGAGGAAGGGTGGAATGAACAACAACCATAGTCTGTAGAAGCACTGCTACTCCTAGTACTAGCACTAGCACTAGTACTAGCACTAGTACTAGTACTAGTACTATAGTACTAGTACT